GACTTCGCCCGTGCTAATCGAGAACCCCCCCAATTCATTCAGCTTGCTGTGTGTTTCCCATCTTCTTTATATCTCCACAAAGTAGCATTTGTTTGATTTCACAAAATCCTTATTCGTTTCTTATTTTCCACCATGGAGCCAGAAAAGAACCAGGGTGTTTGTATCATCAGTGCCAGTCGTATACTCGGCGGGCTAGGAGAAATACTGCGTCAAGAAGAACAGACGCATAATCTTGGAGGGGTGATAAACACTATAAGACAGGAAAATAAAAATGTTTCTATTCCTAGCTACGAGTCGTTTCCTCGAGAGAAATGGGATGTGTTCTTCTCGGCCGTATATGATAAACACAGTGGGACGATGCAGGGTAACCACGGGTGCAGAAACGGCAACAACAACGCCGGCGAGAACACTTCAACAGCATCTTCTGCAGGATCAGATGCATTTCAGTCTGCATTGGAATCAATGAGACGAATACTTTCTCCTCCTGCTGCTTTTTTTGACGGCCATACAGCTCGTGAACNGCATTGGAATCAATGAGACGAATACTTTCTCCTCCTGCTGCTTTTTTTGACGGCCATACAGCTCGTGAACTTCCCTCTATACTCGAGGCCATCGGCTGCACACCGGTCGTTCGGCTCTCCCGTGCAGCTTCGGCTCTAGGCTTATTCTGTCAGTTGCTGGGTAAGTGCGAGTTCTTGAGTGCTGGGGGCAGCATGAAGGACAGGATAGCTCGCGGCATGGTGCTAGCAGCAGAAGCTCAAGGGCGTTTGGCCCCCAGGGCGGCTCTTATAGAGCCGACGAGCGGTAACACTGGCATCGGTCTGGCTATGGTTGCAGCAGTTCGTGGATATAGATCTGTTGCTGTAATGCCTATGAAGATGTCTGCAGAGAAACACCGCATCATGAAAGCTCTTGGCTCTACTATTCTACGCACGCCCACGGCGGCGGCTTGGGATGATCAGAACTCTCACATAGCGCTTTCTCTTCGTCTACAAGAAGCCATGCTGGCGGAGCAGCAGCGCGAGGGGAGCACCGGTGCCAGCAGCGAGGATCAAGCTGGCGGTGCTGCATCCATGATGAACGGCAAGCATGGGGAAACAAGCAACGGCAACAGCAGCACCGGCAGCAGCAGCAACAGCAACAGCAGCAGCAACNCAAGCATGGGGAAACAAGCAACGGCAACAGCAGCACCGGCAGCAGCAGCAACAGCAACAGCAGCAGCAACAACAGCAGCAGCAGCAGCACCGACCGTTACCATGAACAGATAGCCTGCATCCTGGATCAGTACAGAAACCCCGCGAATCCTCTTTCTCATTTCTTCGGAACAGGAACCGAGCTGCTGGCTCAGTGCAGCAACAAGCTAGACATGGTGGTGATCTGTGCGGGCACTGGGGGCAGCCTGACGGGGGTTGGTCGCCGTATAAAAGCTGCGCTGCCGCAGTGCATCGTCGTGGGTGTTGACCCCGAGGGCTCTGTACTGGCGGACCCCAGCTGCTCGACGGTGAAGCCGTATGCAGTTGAAGGCATTGGCTATGACTTTGTGCCTACAGTACTGGATCGTGCAGCAGCAGACTGCTGGGTAAAAACTACAGACGAAGAGAGCCTGCTGTGTTCTCGTCTTC